AGGATTAACTAGGTGAGGTGGGAGGGAATCAGGAGATAATGGTGTCATGGTGGCCATACTTCCATGAACTGAAAAAAGTGTTTCAAGGTAATGGGAGTAACTTGTTATTTCAAATGCTACTGGGAGAATTGAGTAAGGCGGAAAAATTTGGCCATACAGGGTATGCCATGGCTGTGACCAGTGCTGTTTCATAGAATAATCAAAGTAAAAGCCCAGCTGATACAGGTTCACTAGTGAATGGGAGAACTAGACACAGTATGTTATGGGCAACTCTTGGGGAAGCTTTGTTATAAATAGTAGCAGAAATATGGGGTAATAGCTGGAGGAAGAGGGGAGTTACTTAAAATTGGAGAAACTTCAGCATGCCTGTTTAACAACTATTTCAGGATCATGGCTTAATAACATTTCAACTAGTCCCATATTTCTTAAAATTGAAATTAACTGTGATCACGTCAGAAATTTTCACTCCCCACTAAGGTTACATCAGGGATTTTCCCTTTGGGGGGTACTTGAACTTGTTATACCTATGTGTATGCCTTTCTAGTGCCTATCCTTCTCAGTCTTCCATCTGGAATGATCGCCACATTACTCTATTTAGATCTTATTAATACTTTCATAATGGTATCCTTTAGAGTTCCAGTTATATCCCCACCCCTTTCGGGAAAGTCACTGCTTGTATTCTATATTTACTTATGCAGCTTTTATTGTAGAAAGCTCTATTTACAGCATGGTGGTCTAGAGGAAAGCTGATTATTACACAACTGCAGTAATGTGATATTTTTGCTATTTGGCTTTTAATCAAATATGCCCTTTTGATTTTAGTGTTCCTGTAATTAAATGGGAAATCTTTCAAGGCCAGAGGACCACATTCTCTTTTATATGCCCCACTGTGCTTTACTACAGCATTAGCTCATTGAAAGCATTAAATGACTATTGAATGTAATTTTCCATTTTCTGTAGGAAACTTTTTCACAGATGGGTTCTCCAGTTAGCTTAGAATTTTATATTCCGTTGGGGCCAGGGTTCTAGGGAATGCCTTAGTAACCGTAACTAGTGACAACATGTATAGGTATGAAGATACCTTTCTTCAGTGCCTGAGTAAGACAGAGGTTCCCAGGCCTAGCTACATAGGGGAACCACTTTAACAAGAACAAAGGCGTTACCCTTAAATTCTGATTTGTCTGGGATATGGCCTATGCCTAGAGATTTTTTAAAATCTACCAGATGTTTCTAACATGAAACCAAAGTTGAGATCCACCTGTCAAAGAAATTGGAACCCCACCTCTCACCAAGTCTGCTCATTTAGTAGCTTACAAATCAGTGTTACCAGAACATTTCAGTTTTACCTAAGTTAATGTTTTTTTTTTTTTTTTTTCTCCCTTTTAGTTTTTTACTTCAGGAATTGCTATGGTCCTTCTGACACTGATGGCTGTCACACTGGATCCTCCTCAGAAATTACCGGACTTGTTTTCTGTATTGGTGTGCTTTGTATCCTGCATGCATTTCTTGTTCTTCTTGCTATATTTTAACATTATAATCATGTGGGATTCCAAAAATGGAAGAAATCGGAAGAAAGTCAACTAGCTGTATTCCCAAACAAATGTGAACTTTTTATTATGTATAAATGAAATGATCATTTTGAGAATAACTGAATTATAGGAAAGGAAATGGTGAAAAGTCACTGTTGTCTACGCAAAATAAATGTATATGGAGATCAAAGATCAGTGGAGGCTTTTATTTTCTAAGTATTGTTTGACCAAAGCATATTGTACTTCCTAAAATATCCACAGCTATTCAAGTGGAAACATAAGAGAAAATTGTTCTTAATCACAGTATTACTTAGGAAATGTACTCTACAAATTATGTCTTTAAAAAAACCTGCAAATGTACTGAACTTAAACTCCCCTTTAAAGAAAATCACTAATTGTAGTACCCAATTAGTTTTCTTTGTATTTTAGCATGCAGGTAATGTGTACTTCATTGTTTCGAAGTTATGTTGCAGGGAATTAAATTTGTGATAATCTTTTTAATTACTGAGATGGTAAATTAAGCTGCCTAAAGTTTGAGTATGCCTTGGTACATTTGCAAATTTCAATCTTTTTAACAAGACAATTCCAAGAATTCAGACATATTTGAATTCATTTTACAAATGAGCCTTCTTTAATTGAAATCTGTCTTTAAATATGAATGTCTGAAGTCTTTTTAATTGCTCATGGTCACTAGTTCCTAACTTCTAGAATCATTCTGTTTAAGTTAAACTGACACATAAGGATTTCATCTTTCTTTTTTGTTATGATCTGGTTCAAGGTTACCACTGACATAGGCACTGAGTCAACTCATGCTTTATGTTAACTGTGTGTCCTGTTAATTCAGTATCACTTCATATTAGCAGAAGCCCATTTTTACTATAGTAATCAACTGGTAAAAGTCATGTATTGTATCTATGTTGTAGTTTCTCAGACCAAGATTTTTTTTCTTAAGTCTCTGATAAAAATTAAAATGTTACCATTACCTATTTTTTGACTACTTCTTTCATTAATAGCCACTAAAGTATATTAAATGGTGGTAAATTTGAAACTTTACAAGTCATATCACATACACATAAATAAAATTTGGTTTGGACATGGACAGCTATAGTCTGGTGCAAAGAAGTGGATTTAGACAAAGCAAAAATCGAGAAGTATTTCTTTCTCAAAGCAAATGTGCATAAAGATTCAAAGGGCAGGTCAGCATAGAAAAGCAGCCTCACGTCACTGCCGAATCAGCAGGAACATCGCTGTCCATGGTCACCATCTGTAATCGCTGTGCCAAAATGTCAGAATCTTGGCTGGCTGGTATAAAGCCATATTACTATTTTTTAAAATCTTGTAAGAGTATACTTGAATTTAATACAGAATATTGATTTAAATTAGTGATGAAGTTCTAAGTTACAACTTACACATAACTGGAGTAGAAAATTTTTATTATTTGAAAATAAAGGTATATAAACTTTATTAATATAATGTAACACCTGTGTTCAAGGTATTTTATAGGCAATGCTGTACATAAAAATACGTTTTTCAGATGATTTAATCTAATCACACTGAGTTACATTATAGCTTTTTATGAGACATGTAACAATATATTATAAGTACCTCTGATATCTTTTAGAAACCAGTTTAAGAATGTACTTTGAACTTGGAGCAGCTCAGTTCCAAAATGCCAAAAATATCCAGTGATGAATTAAGGACACAGGAGCAGGCAATTCCAAAGCATTTCTCTTAGCTAAACTCAAGATTATTGGGATGCTTTAACAGATATTTAGGTTATACAAAAATAGAATTCTCACTTTCTTCATTAACATATCTGTTATAAATGAACCCTTCTAATGTTATTTGCAAGTATGTTTTAGAGGGCAGAGGCACTTCAGAGAAATGCAGTTTTCTCCATTGCTTGTAAACTTGGGTTTGCTTCTTAAAGTAATGAAGAGAATAGAATGTACGCTCATGTATCATATATGAAGCTACAGAAGTCATTTTCCCTTGAGGCCTTAGGGAGGGGAGAAAAATCCCCGATGTAGCATTCTGTCTAAATGATAAACCACAACTTAGTGAGTGAAACATTAACAAAAGTCAAAGCAGCCAAAGGAGCCTCTCTGTTCAATAGGAAGGGAGCAAGAGATAGATAGGTTATAACTAAATAACATTTGGAGGAACACAATGGTTTCAAGTCTCAATTGGTCTCTCTTCTGTTATAGTCACTGGACGATCAGGGCCAAGTATATCTCTGTGCCCCTCCCCCCATATAAACATTAGTTTTGTGTGTGGATCTTTCTTCTTTGTCCTTCATGCGGCCTCCAAGGGTGATAAAGCGAGAGCCATCTGATCTACAATGAAGGGAACTGGGAAATGATTCTTAGCAGACCCAGCTGTTGTGAAAGGCAAAAGCTTAGAATATCAAGAGGTCAAACTCACAGTAACTGGTTTAATAGCATTAAGCACATACCTACATAACTTGGATTACATGTGTAACCAATCTACTTAACCCTTTGTTTCCTAATTTAGGTTACTTTATAAAATGTTTAGCTTATATCCTAAGGTTAGTTTATAATGCTAGAACAATCCTTTCTGGTATGTTTTTGGTTACAGTCTATTAGAAGGACTATATCAAAAAAGTATTCTTAATATTTAGCAGATAGATTATCTTCAGTCTTATTTAAATAGTACCAAGAAAGTCATTAATGAAAGCATTGAGATTGAATAGTTAATTGTATTGCAGTTTAATACCTATGTTAGAATAGTTTTCTTAAAAAAAAAAAAAAAAACAAAACACAAACACATTTTAAGACATTAACCTGAAATTTCTCAAAGTGGCAAATGAGCTCTTTCCAACCTTAATTTATTTCAGATTTTCACATAGTATTTTGTTTTTCTTTTTTACTTTTTGGCGGTACTGGAGTTTGAACGCAGGGCTTTGCACTTGCTAGACAGGTGCTCTACCACTTAAGCTACTCCACCAGCCCAAAATTACAGAATTTTTTAAAAACTGTGTTACGAAGATATGACATATTCTGTGAATTTCCCCCTTCCCCTAACTAGTTCATGAGTAACAACAAATAGATATGACACAAACACCACTACAGAATAAAGAAATTTAAGCGAATGCTTCAAAATAATTTGGACAGGATCTCATGCTACCCTATAAAAGAGATTTTTAAATTCATTGGAGTCTGTAGTTTAGTTCAAAAACAACTTCATGTTTAAATGTTTATACTGAGAAATACATTCTAATATTTTATAAAATTTTAAAACTTCCAAAATGTTTTTTACTACAAGCATAGGAAAAAACCTAGAGTATAATAAAGACTTACCACTGAAATAGTGGCTACAGAATGTACTTCTAAATAAACTTTTAAAATTTAAAAAAGAATCTGTAAATTAATAAGCAGCTGGGACTTTAAGTGGGAAAACTGGTACCTTGTTCCACTCACCATTCGATTTATTCTGAGTGCCAAAGGTGGAGCCATTGTCATACATGCTTTTGTAATTCTATGCACAAATGCTAAAAGTATACCAAAACATACATGGTAGAATATAAGTCAGGATCCTCCTCTATGTGTTGGTTTGTACTACAGGGTCAAGAAGAAATGTATTATTTACATTGAGATTATCTACTGGGGTGTGTAGAAAGTTTAAATTAGCTGCAAGAAATTTTATCTAGACTTGCACCTGCCTAGTGCTACAAGCTGGTATTTACTGGGCAGATTAATTACAAACATTTCTTCTGTTCCTTTAAATATGATCAGACAGATGCAGAAGTTGTGCTCATAGTGAGTGCATTTCTTTTTAGTGTCTGTATTTCTTCTTAGTGCCTGTAGGATATAAAAGATGATTATTACATCATGAATTAGTTTCCAAATTAACATACATCTCATACATCACTTAAGACATGTTTTAAACAGCCATTTACCATGGAACCTGGTACCTAGTGTAGATACTAGTAACCTCTCAATTTGCTTATTTTTCTGTTTTAAGCAAGATTCACTTTCACAAGTAATTTTTAGTATGACTGACATAGTGCTCTTTACCTTATGTGAAGATACATGAGATACTTTTGAGAGAATTTTAATACTCGGACATGACCTGAAAACACCACATTTACATGCCTTTGTAAGCCTTAAGGGTCTTTCAGCAGGTGTTTCCTCTAACAGCTGCCAGGAAGAAAAAAAAAAAAAAAAACACTTTACTATGACAGAGTCCTATTCAGTGTGTCCCTCTGGGGACTCCTAGTGGTGGTAGAAGTTTTTGTCTTATTTGGCCTTAGAAGCAATTAAGTGAAGAGAATTCCAAGAGAAGCCTTGGAAGACAGCAGCCATTGGCAACTGATGTACAGGGCATGTAGCCCTTTCACTCTTTCCTTTACATCAGCAGTTAGGAAGATGCAGTGCACAGTGGCTCTTGTTTTTCCCTATTCACAAAGTCCACATATTTTCTCCTCCCAGTCTTAAGACGGGTTGCCAACTTGTCAACCTACTTTCACCAACTCTTCATTTCAGTCTGGCCTGTCTGCCTATAAGATTCTCAGCAGTTTAGGTCTCACTTAATTTTCTTATAGGTTACTGATATAGTTGCCAAACAATGATATACTATAAAGGAAAGGAAGACTATCGTTTACTAAATAGTTATTATGGAGAAGGTGCTAATTAAGCTAATTATTTTGTTTTCTCTCTCAAGGCATACATCCTCTGGGAAACTCAGTGCCTAGTTTAAGCATACTTAACCAAGTAGGTAGTACAGCTGGTGTTGAACTCTAACCCAAATCCTGTCTTTCCCCCGCTCCATGCCAGACCCTTCTGAAAAGAGGGCTGAGAAAGAATCTGAGGCCAAATCTAACATCCAGCAAAAAGAAATACTTTGATTCATGTGGTGTATTTTATAGCAAGCAGGTAGCAGCAGCATTCATCTTCACAGAAAGCACGTTATTCTCTCTAGAATGTACTTTGGACTGTTAAATTTCCGTAGTCTTTACTGGCCTACCTCTGCCTGATGAGTGAAGTGCGAACATACTAGCTTAGTGACTGTACCTGTCAACAATGTGGCCTGAATTTACTTTCCATCATCCTGTTTTCCTGCTTTTTTTTTTTCATGTCATTCTGCCTACCATGTTTACAAAGCCCATTAAAATTATCCATTTTTCAGAGCCAGGCATAGTGGCACAAACCTGTAATCCTGGGCTACATAATGAGACCCTGTCTCAAAAATAAACCAAAAGTGAACTCATTTTTCAAATTCCAGCTGCCTAGTAAGGTACGAAGCTTTCATATGAGGGTCTAGATGGCTCTCTGTCAAGAGATAATGTAGAGTGGAATAAGTAGGGCCAGTATTATTTTTGAGACACTGTCTTGCTGTATAGCCCACAATGGCCTTGAACTTGAGATCATTTTGCCTCAGCCTACCAAGTGCTGATCTTACAGGTGTGTGCCACAGGGCGTGGCTACAACTGGTTTTAAAATCATGAATGTAACTACCCACTCAGATCTATGTTGTGAATTCTGTAACACTGCTTATTCTTTACTTGGTACTCCTAATAAAGATGAATGTTTATAACCCTCTGTCAAAAGGAAGGAAACTGTGTCAACTTTTCATCTCTCTATATCCTGTGGAAGCATGACAAATTTGATTGGTCAGAGTCCAGAACATTCAATGGTGCACATTTTACTAACATTGCAGGTCATTATTTCTACAGAACACTTCCCCACTGTGCAGTTTCCCTATCACTCTGCCTTCCCTCAAATTCAATGGGCCTTTGTGCTTCCTAATTACATGTGGTAAGGGGTAGCCTGCAACCATGCATACAAGGCAGGCCTGTGGTCTCCACAGCTTTAGAGGCACATGAACTTGGGGTACACTTCAAGATTGAGCTTCTCAGCTTCAGGAGAGCACACAGAATTGAAGTGGAGATTGAGTGTGGGTTCTACTTCTGCTTTAAGGCCCAATCTCTTATTAGTTACCCAACCTTCTACCAAAGGGCTTGCCCTGTTGGGGATGATCAGTTACTTTACTAATCACCTTGGTACTTTCTCATTAGACTCAGTATTTGCACAACTCACCAGCACCCTATGGTGAAGAGTCTGAATTTGGATCATAGCTCAAAATTCTTTCTGTCCCCACATCTGAACCTGCCAGATCATGCCACTTCTGAACTTATTTTGAGCTTCTAAGCCTGACCAATGGAATTATGTACACCATAGAGAGGTAGGAGGAAGGACAATTTTGCAGGAGAAATGATAAAACCAGTATATACTTGGGGGACGTGGCAGAGCAGCTAAAATTGTAGACGTACAGCTCACAAGGAAGGTCACAAATAGAGGTCACGCAGGTGAAAACTGAAGCCAAAGGCCTGGATGAGATTATGAAGAAAGTGCCCAAAGCAACCAAAGCGAGAACAGTCAAAAGCAGAATCCAAGGAAATGGAAATGCCTCAAAGGTGAAGTCATTACTTTTTTTTTGGTGGTACAGAGTTTGAACTCAGGGCTTTGCACTTGCTGGGCAGGCTCTCTACTACTTGAGCCACACCTCTGTCTCCCCTCCCCACCCAGTTTATTTTTGAGATAGGGTCTCCCTTTTTACCTAAGCTGGCCTGGACCACAGTCTTCCTGGGTTGCCATCATCTGAGATCCTTCTGATCTTAGCCTTCCAAGTAGCTAGGATTACAGCAGTGAGCCATGCGCATGCAGCAAAGTCTTTCATTTAATTGTCATTTCTCTTTTACTTCTCACTAAAGGGACATTTCCTAGTAGCTCAACCTTAATTCTTTCAAGTTTCTTGAAAGTACTAATCAAATAGAAGACTCAAAAAAATGCTAACATATATCTTTATTAGAATCCACAAACACAAAGCGATTATTAGTACTCAAGTTCCCCAAAAGTGTATTAGTGAGACTATCATACACTAAATGTGTATGTTCATTTGCTAAGTATATGTGGATATGTATATATGAAAATCATCTAACATAAAAGTTCTCTGTTGGATTTTCATGGGTCAGAAATTTTATAAAATGTTTAACCCTAAATATGTGTATATGCATATATATTACATCCTTACTTAATAGGATATAAAATCCTTGACCAGTAGTGAAACCTGGTCAAGTAGGTTACCTACTATGTCAAGAGCATAGGCACTGGCACCACTCTCAGCTGAGTATGCTGGCTCTCTCTAAGGTGCTTCTGGGAAAAATACTTAACTTTGTGCCTTAGTTCATCACTTGTAAATAAAGTTGTGGAGATTAAATGATGTGTGAACAGCACTTGTAACAGTGCTGGCCCATAAAACATCTCTGAGTTATTACCAGAGTAATTACCAGAGTAATAACTCAGGTAAAAAAATAAACAGAAAAAAATAAACAGAATGAATATTTAATGAATGAAAATGTCACAAAAAGATGCTTTGCAAATATTTTAAGAATAGCTAGTTTGTTAGGCTACAATGAATCAGATACCATTTCCAAAGAAATGAATTTCTAGATAGAATATAATTTTTTCATTTCGTTTTTAGTTTTCTAAGAGATAACAGACAATACCTGGTTAGCTTCTAAGAATATTTTAATATTGGTGCCACAAAGTCTGCGACAATGCCAGTTCCTAATGTGAAGCTTTGAGTTACAGGTACACCAAACATACCACACAATTACATTGTCACAGATTACATGCTATAATAAACAGTTATACATATCATCTTTGTTTGTATTGCTGAATGAAAAGAATTGTTTGAAGGAAAGATATAAATAATATGTAATTAATCAACTTCGCATATTTCTGAACTTAACAGCCCTGTTATGTTTGTTCAGAGGCATTCTATAAAAACTATAATCTACTTATCAGCACCTATGTAGCTGTTTATACAAAAGATGTTCAATTAAGGGCCCTCCTTCTACTCAGTTAAAAATGTGTCCTAACTTTTCCAGTGCGCTTTTTCAATCAGCCCCTAACTCAAAGACCTTGTCACACTGCCCTCCTACTGCTTACAAGAATAAATATCATTTCAACAAAGCTCCAGAGCTCGTGTACCTATCTTGTCACACAAAGATATATCAAATTTCATAATGTAAATAAAATATTTCTACTTGAACAAAGGACAGTGAAACTTAACAAGGTTAAACTGAATTAGAAAACTGAAACAGTACCTCAGTTTAAAATGGCTTTAAGGAATTCGAAGCTGTCAAGATGACGTAATTCTATATGAAAAAAAGAAAGATTTTTTTAGAAAACAGTTCAAAGTAACTAGTCACACTATATGATGCAGAATAAATATTGAAAATTAAATTTAAATAATCTACAGTTTTATTTTACATGATAAACAGCAGCTTTGGTAAACATTGATCTACCATATGATCCAGCAATACCACTCTTGGGGATATACCCAAAAGAATGTGACACAGTTTACTCCAGAGGCACCTGCACACCCATGTTTATTGCAGCA